GCTTTTAGCATTACGTGAAATTAAATTAATGAGTGAAATTGGTACTCATCCATGTTTGATGGGTTTTCACGAACTACAGCGACCTTTAAACTTTGAATTGTTTGAGGATTTGTACATTATTCAGCCTTTAATGGAGACAGACTTGTGTCGAATAATTCATTCGAAAGAAATCGTAAATGACGATCAAATTCAGTATTTCCTCTATCAAATGCTTTGTGGGATTCACTATTTACATTCTGCGGATGTTTTGCACCGTGATATTAAACCAAGTAATGTTCTTGTGAATTCTGATTGTCGAATTAAAATTTGTGACTTTGGATTAGCACGACATGCAAATGATCGAGATCTAGCAGAAGGACTTTCGGAATATGTTGTGACAAGATGGTATCGTGCTCCAGAGCTTTTATTAGCAAACGCTTATACAAAAGCTATTGATATGTGGTCTATTGGCTGTATCTTTGCTGAGCTTTTGGGTCGTCGGATCATGTTTCCTGGAACGTCTTATGTTGATCAATTAAAAGTTATTGTTGAGATTGTTGGGACACCAACAACTTTCAGCTTTTGTGATAATCCTATAGCTCGTCGATATGCTGGACGACAATTTTTAATTCAAAACCCACATGTACCGAAAATTGATTGGACAAAGATCTTTCCAGAAGCTAATCCGGAAGGTCTTGATTTGCTTGATCGACTACTACAATTTGATCCTTCTAAACGAATTACAGCAGCTGAAGCTTTAGAACATCCGTATGTAAGTCAGTGGCGGGATTCGCAACTTGAACAGCCATGTCATGCGGATATTGCGACGAAATTGACACAGTTTGATTATGCACAGATGTCATATGATCCACAAACACTTAAAGAATTGTTGTATCAGGAAGTCATGAAGGCTCAACATCATGATTAAGAAACTAGTCAACAAAATTTGTAATATAGATACAAATTTGACTAACGTTATTGAAATTTTTATGTTTTATTTTATTTAAATTTTACATTAGTGAAATTGTTCTTTATGAATGAAGAGAGCGATACTTCGACGGATCCACCTGACAGCAATTCAGATGGTGGAGAAGCTGTTGAAAATGAGATGAAACGACTTCGTGTTACTTATAATTATGATGGTGCACATGGCGTTCGATGGGCGGGTGAAGCGACGTCTGTGGATACAAGTGTCGAAACTTTGCGTGCTCGAATTGTACGTGGCAATTATGCTGAAGCAAATGCCATGTTGAGAGAATTTCACTATTTACGTCAATTACGTAAGTTTCAAGCTGAACGAGGCCGCGCTCGAGCGAATTACTTGGAACATCAGGTAGATGAACCTGATTTTATCATGGATGGTTTGAACAAGCTTAAAAGGAAATGTTAAATTTACTAAGAAATTTGAATTATTTCTTATAACAATTCAAATGGGAAATTATATCTCAATTTGGGTATACTAGGGCAATTTTGATGTGACTAAATTTGCAGCAAACTTGCGCTCTTCTTCAAAAAGAGGGGACGATAAATATCGTTCACCAAAACTGGGTAAAATAGTCACAATGAGCTTATTTTTGCTTTCTCGACGTTTTGCCAACTCGATACTAGCAACAACAGCAGCACCAGATGAAGGACCTACTAGAATTCCTTCTTCCAAAGCTAAACGCTTAGCCATCGCAAAAGCATCTGGACTGTTAACGGTAATAACTTCATCAATTAAATCCCGTTGAAGAACTTGAGGCACAAATCCAGCACCAATTCCTTGAATCTTATGAGGTGCTGGATTGCCACCAGATAGCACGGGACTTTCTTCAGGTTCAACAGCTACAAATTTCACACTGGGCTTCTTTGGTTTTAGATAACGAGCTGTACCTGTCAATGTACCACCAGTTCCCACACCAGCCACAAAAATATCAATTTGTCCGTCAGTATCACGCCAGACTTCAGGTCCAGTTGTCTCAAAGTGAATTTTTGGATTAGCTGGATTGTCGAATTGGCCTAAAATTAAAGCTTTGCTGCCCTCTTTTGTCATGAGATCCTCAGCCTTGGCCACAGCTCCAGCCATACCTTTATCACCAGGAGTCAAAACCACATCACAGCCAAACGATTTAAGCAAGATACGACGCTCCATAGACATGGTTTCAGGCATCACAAGCGTGAGTTTGTAACCGCGCACAGCAGCTGCAAAAGCAAGGCCAATGCCAGTATTGCCAGACGTAGGTTCGATAATATGCGTGTCCTTTTGCAATCGTCCCGATTTCTCAGCGTCTAGTATCATACTCATACCGATACGGTCTTTTACTGATGCACATGGTTCCATAAATTCGCATTTGACAGCAATCTTTGCATGACAATCTTTCGTTACACGGTTTAAATATACCAGCGGTGTATTACCAATAAGTTCAGTCATATCTTTAGCGATACGAAGTGAGCGGCTATTACGCAGCAGTACGCGATGGCCAGAGCGAAATGAACGAGCAAACATTATCGAGAAGATCGAAGAATTTATGACTAATTGCCACGTAGAACAACGACTTCAACCCATGAGAAGTATCGGTACTGTACCGATACTTAAAGTGTATATATAGAAAATTTTAAGAGATGACTACTAACATTCGCGTGGTACACATGGAGTATTACATTGATGAGTTACAGAATGATGTCCACGCAGTGCCTTACTCCTAGCATATCCTAGATAGTGAATATACTACATTATTGTCCTTTGAGTTTAGTAGGTTTGGATGTGCAATGTAACGATAGCAACTTACAAAATCTTTACTGGCGTCACACTTCGATATGATGCTGCCAAGTATATTCTATGCGTTAGTAGGATACGTCACAATGAAAGACTGGCCGAAATGCTTAAAACATGCGCTTTGCACCATAAATCATTTTACTTTTAACTTACTTCTCTGAGCTGCTAAATACTTTCTCGAAACACCATGAAATATAAACACAATACCATTTACCAACTATATTAATGTCATGTTGTGCTATTACAAACTGAGTTACACATATCATGTTTAAGATACCTGACCTGAATACCTCACCGATGATTTGGCGCGTGCTCTACTTTCACATTTGCTAGTATACTGTTCTGTTACAATCACCTAACAATTAATGGTTCACCCATACCCATCAATCATCTGAATATGAAAGCGTACTTACAGCTGTACAGGCACATTGGCGAGTATTTACTTTCACGTGGCATCGTGAATCAGTTCTATGGGATCTGAATGTATTGATATCGCAAGTTTAACCTTCTCCTGCTCCAAAAACAAAGCTAGATTTTGGGTCTACCACCGATCTTTGGGACGTGATTTCGCATGAGTATTACGATAATACGTGGACATCACGAACGAGTAAGCACTAGCTTAGAATGAGAGTTTGACACATATTGATACTCTCACTTTTATCAAACTTACGATGGAAGATCTTGCCGGATGCTACTTCTTGATTCTCTAAACGACTTACAGAGAGTTTGTTCTCATGATATCAAATACTGATCTCACTTGGCTCCACTAAATCTGCATATGCTTCTCTCAGTCATACTTCCACACAAAAACATCAATCTGTCCATTACTTGATCTTTGGATGATCAAAATGACGAGTCGACAATGCATTATAGTTTATTTAACCATATTTGTTCGTTCTACCCGAATAACCTCAATTTGAAGACCAGGCCAACAAGCTCATTTCTTGTATCCTTGCGTCTGATGTCCCAGCGGATCACGACTGATATTTCCCCAAGACACTTCCAACAATTTTGGAGTGGTATATCTGTACTCCTCGCCTTTCTAGCTCCGAATAACTGTCGTCGGATACCTTTACTTTCAATATGTCCAGAATCTGTATCTATGATTTTTAATTTCTCGTATGCATGACATTTAGCTGCTCAGTTGTAAAGTAGTGACATTCTGGTTGCGAATCAAGAAAAAGCAATCTTTTAATCCAGATCAGGGCGTATGAAGCTGAAAAATTCTACTCTAGACCTGTATTACGAAAGGAGACAAACTTTGTAGCAATAGTAAGTAGTGATTGCCGTGAATGTAAAAAAGGACAGTAAGGCCGTTCAAAAAATCCTGCTTGTGCACTTTCATTCAGCCCTAAAATTTAGAAGACAGATGTTGGTCAAACGTTGCCGTAGCATAGAAAGGAAAGGGATGGCGTAAACTACTGCATGTTTCTAGACTTTCCATTCTTATAAAAATGCAAGCATGAAGGGATGTCTGAATCGTCAAAAGATTGTAATACTTATGCAGTCGAGTTTGCGAGCAGATTGCATCTGAGCTCACTGTGTGTGATCAAGAACTTGTAATCATAAAAACATCAAGATTTATCGAGGGTCTGACCCAGCGTAAGGGGTTGTCGTATCATACAATCTCAGAAGGCCTCTAATCACTGGATCTTTAGTACTGGCTTCTGCTCGTTTTGATTCTGAAGTTTCAAAAAATTGGTTTTAGTGGCTATCAAGTTGAACACATCACCTTCAGTTCAGTTCTTGACAACGCTGCTTTGTTAACGTACTCTATACGGAAGAGACACGCGGTAATTTTGATCAATCGCCATCGTCAAGCCGCTGTGTTGTCGCATGAGATCTTTGTCGGTTATGCTCCCGCCATAAACCTTAAAACTTCCGGCAATTATCTAGCGCTGAATACCCTGATAAAATGTATCAATAGTCTGGGTAGAAGTGACAACATCTAAAATATAGAAGAAAAGGAACAGGAGGAGAGCAGACAGATCTCGTATCCAAACATCCTAGCACGACTTTTGTACACATTATTATTGATTGGTCCCTCCTTATTATCAACAAGGTTCTGGATTCTAAAGATACGGTGGTTTTTGAGATTTTGATGATCTCCCTTCCACTATCATCCAACTTTAAACCTGGATGTTGTGCAAAAGAAATGAAGAAGTGTACAAACGTCTCTGTGACCACATTACAACGCTAACATGTGCTAGTAAATCTATAGTGATACTTAAATTCGGTGTATAATTAGTCTTCGTGAGGTTTTAAAATACGTCGTCGTCTCTACGATCGAATCGCTGCGAGAAACTGGCAGCTACAATAAATCGTACTAGAGTCTTTCGTAGCGCAATAATATGCAAGCACTAAATTGCGCCTTGTCCTCATCAAGAAATAGTTTATAATCTTAACAATTAATTATCTGATCAATTTTATTATTCATTTTGGCTAATTCATCAATTTCTTTTGTAATATTAAGTACGATTCATCAATCAGAGATAGGGAGACAGAAAACGACCAACTAGCTGCATTTAAATCTATTTTTAGCAGAATTATGAAGCATCTTTCGAAAGAATAAGATCCATACTACTATATAGAATAAAGTATTTCAGTAGGTCGAGAGGGTGTCTTGCATCAACACTAAAGTTTTACCTTAGATTTTTGGTGATCGTATTGTGTGTACAATTCAACATCAAGAAGAATCTGAGACAAATTAATTGCTTCCTGCCACCTCTCTGGTATCACATCAAGATCTGAGTCTAATTACGCAAGGCCACATCATACTTTTGTGTAATTGTGACCGAAGTATTGCATGGAATAGAAGAGATTTCGACATCCAAAAAGCGATTTCTAACTTAGAAGAAGGACACCCTACTAGTCAATGAGGACCAGTATGCCTTAAATAGTCTCCCCTTTCGCCTATTTCAAGAAATTAGACCGAGTTCATGAGCCGAAAGATAACACTTGATTCTAGTTATTAAAATTTGGCTTTCAAATTCTCTATCGCGATTACAAATTAAGGCGTTCTGAGTACGACATCGTTTCTTGAACAGGACACATCTTGTATCTTGGTGTACGTAATCTCGTTACCCCTCAGACTTGATACAAAGCTCTAAAGTACACACACTCAAAATTTCGTCTCAGTTTCCCTAAGGGTAAAGTGCAACCGATTTCCCAGACCCCTTTGCCTGCCTGGCGGTGTTCGCAAGATAATATGACAACGTGCATCGAGGCTCCTACACGAATGATTCAACCAGAGGTGAGAGGAAACCACCTCCAACAGATTCTATAGAATTGAGGCCGCTACTGTTGAGTTTAAATCACTTTGTTACCGATGACGAAGAAATTATCCTTTTCTGGATATGAATAGTGAAGAAAGCCATAGATTATCCTCTGTTCTAGTTGCAGCTTCTGCAAGACGCGCGGACGATTTTTAAGCTAGAAATTCAAACGCGAGTATGGATAAGAATGTGCGATATCTCCATATTCATGGCACTATATCATGGTGATAGATGTTATATGTATTTGACCGCAAAATCGGGCTTCCTGTGTGCGATCAAATTCTTCTTCACCCTTCAGGATGGTACGAAGTTCAGAGCCGCTGTTCATAAAATAAATTTCTAAGCGGGATTGATGTCCGACTCAACTTTTGAAGACAATGGATGTTCTTCTCTTTGAGAAAGATTCCAGGATAGTTTGAATTGCAATCAGGACTCCCACTTCTATAAGACCATGTCTAAGGAAGCGGACAGCGCCGTATTGAACGCGAAGCACGATTTTCCGGGATACAAAAGACCACAGGAACGCGGTGGATGGATGCTGTATGAACGTGCTAGTGGCCTCTAACCTCAGCAACACTGAAGATCTTTAAAGTTCTCAGTTTGCTGCAAAGCAGCGCGATAGCACTCGCGAGTGTATATCTACTTTACCAGCTCTTCATTTATGCTCTAAATGTCTTGTCCTCTCTCATCTGTGTAACCGTGAAAGTTCTCATAGACCCAGGAGTGGCATGCAATTACGTGCAACGCATAACTGTCAAAGATGATAGGCTGTATACGGAGGTAATGAAGATGCTAGATACGTGTGCTTGCCTCAGTACGTCACACAAGAAAGGCGCAGTTCATCTGTTTTCAAATCCCTAGACAACAGTTTAAGACGTTGATAGCGTGAAACGCCGTCGAGCCCCTTAGGTGCCGCGCACATTCTCACTAGCGGGGCCTTCTGAGCCAAAACACAATTGCGCTAAAAGCAAGCTCTCGGTACAGACATGAAATTATGGCGGCCAAACTACAAGAGCTAGATATTTGGCAGGATCATCGAGCAAACCATTTCAGACAGAGGTGGATATGAGCAGCGATTTCTTGAATATAGCGAAAGTATTTCGCGACAAACAAAGCATATTTATAGTGAGGCGAGAGTCGGATTTTGCTTGTTTTGTTCAGACAGATGAAAGCAGCGTTTTGTTTGATCATCTGTCATCAAATGGCTGGCTGTGGACATAGTCAGTGTGGTATCTACCACTGTGAGCAAAAAAATGTCTAAAGTCTCGTTGGAGAGTGCACTTTTTGACACAATGCTTACCGACAACGTGTGTTGACAAAACTCTGCCTTGGATGGATTTTCACAAAGCCCACGTGGCAGTATTACCGGAGATTAATTTCAAGACCTATACTGAAGTATATGCAAAGGGACTGCCAACATTCTACCACAGGCGGCAGAATGTATAAGGGTGTCGATGCATATGGCAAGAGGTTTACCTGCTGACACGTTATGAACGAGCGCACGAAAGTGCTCATTCATTAGATCGTGGTTACTTAGCAGTATAGCTTTTCTTTCCAAAATAGTCTTCAAGCCGGGATCATGTGCCTTAAACCGAATTTTGTACTTACTACCCTCATCATTATAATTATTTTACTACGCGCGTCGAATGCAACGGTATTTGTATATAGCAAGTCTAAAGACAGGGAGTAGGGGCATAATCACGCTACTTAACGCTTTGTCTAAGCGACGTTCAGCTCTAAACTCTTTATTTCCAAGGTTTCGGCACTGAACACATGTGACATCCAAAGTCGTACGCAATACGTACCTAATCATCTATGCGAAACGTCATCACTGTGACATACAAATTCATAGCATGGATGACGCAAAAGTGCATTTACCATCACATTAACTCTAAAAGCTTACATCGAAAAGCTTGGTATGGAAGGTTAGCCATCTTGCTATTTTCTGTATGAGATGCAGTCGCGCGTAAGATGTCGATTCACATAGATCATATATTAATATGAGCAGGATGAATAAGGCTTTTTGACAGGGTATACTCATAGCAAGGATCTCGCTGCTCCAAAATGAGTAGTTCCTCTCTGTCGCTTTTTAGCTGGCAAGCTTTGTTCACAATCCATGTTACCATTCGATGCACATTCAGGCTTTGGTGAGTGATCAAGAGTCACAGACGACGTGGAACATCTGATCCGGACTCGAAAGTCCAGAAACGGGACACACACGATCCTTCCTATCATAAACTTGAGGGATGCCTCTTATTACCACACCCCAGCATCATTTGACAATCTCATCAAGAAAATTGATGAGGGCTGTACAAATCGGCATAACATGCTAATATACTAATCAAGCAGTTGGCCAATTAACCCCATTGATAACGCTCTGTTGAGACAAAGACACTGGTAAATCTACAGTTGGCTTGATCTTTGTGTGATCTGCCTGCAGGACATTGTACGAATCATATTTACAAGAAATATTTTTGCCGATGCCAAAGACACATTGTTTGATAATCAAACAACTCACGAAAGCATATATACTCGATCACTGTTATCAAGTGTCTGAATTTTCTCACACAAACCCCCTGCTCAGCACGACTATGGTCAAATATATCGTTCGAATACAACCGAGCATCGGCACGATACGGCCCGTACGGCAGTGATACAAGGCGATCAACCAAAGCTTGAGCGTTGGACAGCCTCAAAAGTTTAACGAGTCATTTCGCAACGATTCGCTCGACAAGCACAAAGCAATAAGAGGAAGTTCGCCGTCTCTCGTGGACTGCTGAACATATCAATAATTAGATCAATATATCCAAACAAGGTGTAAGTGGCCATGCCTTTCTGAAGCACATCATTTCTAGGAATCGGTGTTTGCGCCGTAAAAGTAGCTGTATTTAGTTCATTAAAATTTCGCACAATTCGCCACTTGCCGTAACCTGTATGATGCAGCATGTCGGCACGGGTGAGAATGATTACTATCACAATTCTGTTTTCGCGCATTTTACCGAAGAAAGCATTAGTGCTGTCTCACTGTTCCTTCCCAAAGAACCCGTTGACGTTCGACGCAATATTTGGTTTCGGGAACCAAGTCAATTTTGAACACAAACTCATACCGGGCGACAACACGCTAAGTGAACATGTTGCAGCATTCCTAGGGTTTAGTTGATAGCTGTCTCACTATTTGCACCTTGAAGACTGCGAGCATAGTCATGCCGTGAGCTCAGCTCCTCCTTCGGTATTAACCGTACATTTTCCGACTTCACCGTCTTGTATTGTTTGTACATATCACCTGAGGATGGTTTTCAGCTCAACAGGAGCTTCAGCTGGAGGCGTCTTAAAAGACTAACAGCTCCAGTCACGAGTGAACAAACTATCTCGTCAGTCTCCCATGAAGCTTCACTGCTTTACATTACACGGTAGTACCGAATCAACAATTCGGTTTCACCGTGACAATGATGATAAATTCTTAAAGCTTCACGGCCTGACACTTCCATTAGCGACTTGCAGTAAATCATAACATGGGGAGGCACCAATTTTCAACAGTGGTCAACCTTTCCATAAAAGATCTTTCTGGGATCACGACATACTGTCGCTCATTCTTGTCTCAGCAGCAGATTAATCTGGGATTTACAACATACAATCGATTCCCTTTGTCTCATTTAAAATTGCGGCTCGCGATCGCTTATACTCGGCTCAGCTATAGGTATCAGGCCGTTTTTATTGATTGAACAAAGTGTACAAACTCTTGTTCTCAAATGAAGCTACGGATGCGTCGTGTCAGCGTTAAGAAAGGTTAATGAACCACCAAAGCTCCAGCAGTAAAGGAAATTCCAGTCGTATACAATGTCTGTCAACTTATTCTGCTGGTCGCCCTGCGGTTAACTTTCACCTCGAGGGTGTTTGATGCGCAACCCTGTGCAAGAGCTCGACTCTTGATATCCATCAGTATAGAGAGAAGATGCGCTCACTGCGCGTATGTCTTGTTATAACCACTAATTTTCCATTTAAGCAATACTGAGCTGCTCTATGGTCAAGAGAATTTGCTCTTCCTCTCTTCCTCCTCAGCACGGCTAAGGTTCATCGTTCCTAGCGTGCTGTGACTCCTATATCCCAGTCGGTCTTCAGTTTCCTCCCTCACACGAGAGTTTGGTGCCATTGCGGTAACAAGAAATATTACTTATTTAGTATGCTAGCTCTCACTCTGTGGACGGGTGAATACGAGCATAACACTCAACCAATTTGCCTTATTTGGCAGTACAAGATATATGTGTCCAATTTTCTCACGTTGGGATTGCCTCTTCCACATAAGAACTGCGAGTCACTCGCACAAGGACCGTAAATTTGAGACCACACGCGCGACGTGCACTTGTTCCGTCTGTAGTATCCTCATTCATGCTTCCCTCAAAGATTTTCCCGCCGCTGCCTTCAATGGCTGGGTGTTTAACAGTAGTGATCACACGGCAGAAGCTGGATGCTTTCCTTCTGACGACTTATTACCTTTAGACTTTCGGGGTTGTCTCGCCAGCGCATTCTCATAGCTGCAAACCACCCCCAAGCAGAGATTCTATTCCTGGGACCTTTAGCCCCCTGATCCCTTCGAAACCAGTAATATCCACTGTCCTTTTAATGTGACTAGCTGTCTTGAGGACAAGTAGTTGATCAAATTGTGTTACTTTGTCAGCAATTATACAGCGGTTACAGTCTTTCAAGACTAGGTTGTCGAGTTGACTACGAGTGCCACCAAGTGCAACGGTGTTGACCTGCACCTCAAACAAAGAAAACTTTGGCTAAGAGTTCCATGTATACAACGCACAGAGGCTAAGTTCGTTTACCCCTCCACGAAGTTGAAACCCAGAGCTTTTATACTAACTAATTAGTAGGTTTGCTTTGCTAGTTCAAGAATGACATATATTAAGAATCACTTTTGTACCATATGTTAACATCTGTATTGTTTGATGTGAGGCTATCGTACCATGCAGAGTTCCATCGTCTTCAATACTCAGTATTCTAGTGCCTATGGACATACACAATCAAACAAAAAAGTTGTAAAAAATTGACGTTTACAATATCTTAGCGAGGTATCTACTGGCTTTCTACAAGAAAGATCAAGTGGATGTAGATATCTACACAGTTCCACTTCCAAACCTCAAGAACTTAAAATTGTCTTAGCATTCAAGAGTATACATAGTCTGAAGCGTTAAGTAAGACGACTTCTGTCTATTAAATCAAGCTGTCCTGAAAGTTCCGAATCGAAAAAGCCTGTTCCTCTTCGTGCCTTTTCTGCAGGTTACGATTCAATACATTTCTAAGACAAAGTCAAACATGACATTTCAAAAGAAGTGTTCCGACGTTCAAAAGTGAATCTTAAGTCGATTGTTCGGACAATTTCAGTTTTGAAAACACTGGTCAAGATTCAAGAAACATCAAGAATCGACTCTATTGAACGAGAAATTGCGTTTTTTCTTACACTTTCGCATCTTGCGATTGTATCTTCAGATGGACGTAATCACGTCATATTATCCAAGCAAGCGTACGGCGCGAAAGAAAGTTATCAAGAACATTGTGAGCCACAAAAAGGCCCAGCTGCATACGACATCGATAAAGTAGGTACTGAATCGATATATCCAGTGATTCTTTCTGAAGAAAAGACGATGTCAAGAATTCAAGTGAAGGAACTGGCTACCGATATCAATAACATTGTCGAGACTTTCAACACAACATCGCAATTATATTCTTCGAAGACGAAGCGTTATATTGAAAAATTACAATGAAGAAAAGACGTGAAGTTTTCTTGTACAATATTCTTGTGATGTGAATTATTGTCAAGGCAGTTTCTTCTGGTTTTTATTGGATCCAGATGTACAAGGCCGAGACAAGATGCTAAATCTGGAAATCTCGAATTTTAATTTTTTTGGAGAAATAGAAATGGCAATATTATTGCAATACGCAAAGATCCACCGAGATGGTTTTTAGAATTAAGACTTCTATTAAGAAACTAGATTTGTACCTTTTCCAAATGTTGCATCTTTTAGAATCGTAACTCATCTGGTCCTACGTATGGCGTAGTCATGTTAATTTCTGCTACTTCTTTGCTAATAGTGCCAGTACAAAGTCTTTGCTACTGAAAAGACCTTTCTTGAAGCTTCACGACAGTTTCCTTGAGTTATGCTACATGGTATCCAGTCGTCATCATTCTACCGGTAGGTACTAATCTGAAATAGTACTATCTGAACCATAATATAATCTCACTTTTTTGTTTTTTAATACACTGCCTTATCCTTGTCCTATTATTCTGATGCCTACAAATATCATCAATAGTACTATTTCCTACTAATTCAAACGCTGACGCTTAATCTCCAACAATGCGTCCGAATCATGAGCTTTCCATTCATGTGTCGAACTCCATGACGTTGGAAAATGTCCATTTGAAGACGTCGACTCGATCATTTCCACATTTTCACATTCTTCACTTGTATCTTCACACGTAGTTGGAATCAATTTCTTGTCTTCATTTTTTTTCTTGGAAAACACAAAACGACGTAAGACTTCCATACCTGCTTCATCCGTTTTTGGTTCATTACGACGTTTTCCATTACCAGGACCTTTCAATACAGCACCAGGTAATGAACTCATTTCTTCCGCAAGTTCCCAAATTGCATCATCTTCAGGCATGTTTCGTAATAACTTGGCAAAATACCCATAAGCATGTGTACGAACTTGTACTGCTGTTTTTGTCTTGACAAACGTTTGAATTTTCTTCCACTTTCGACCATATCGATTTAAACCTTCCATAAAACGAGCATGTTCTTCTTCAGTCCATCGTTCACGTCGTTTATTTGTATCACTTGTTTGACTGATAGGAGATGCAGGTGGTAGATCATCACTCATTGTTGATAATGTTTCGAGATTCTTCATTGATGTATCATGATGTGGAGGATGATACGTTGGATAACAATGTTCCAATGGTTGATGACATGGATATATCGAAGTAACAACTTGTTTCTCTTCCGATACAACAACTGAAGATGAAGTTGAACGACCCATAAGATGTAAAAGATTCGTACGTGCGAGAATATCAGCAAAACTTGGTAATCGACGTGGTGTAGGAGTAGGAGGAGGTGGAGATGGAAGAGATGGAGGTGTTAATAATGGTGTTCCACGTCGAAAAGTACCAGAAAGAAGATTCGAAACACTCATACGTAAACTTGATTGTTCTTGTGGTAATTTCCATACTTGAGATTGGTGAGTAAGTGCAAATGGAGGCACTTGAAGACGTGGAAGCTCTTGAAAACGTACAGGATAGTGCGAAAGTTGAGGTTCATATTGGGAATGATATGTTTCATTCATAGTATTACTTGGCCCATTTGCCAGGTGCTTGTACTCAGTCATGATTCTGATTCCAATGGTTTGGCAGATGCACTTATAATGAGACACAAGATTTTTTCTTGACTTTTGATCTTTGTGGCGAATTGCAGAATAAATCCACACTTGGGAGGGGGAGAACGCAAGTTGTACCATCGGGTTGCAAATTGGTACATATATGGTTGCACGTTTGCAGGGTGCCCCTTTCGCTTTACTAGTCCGAACCCTAAGGTGAGTCGTACAGTTCATGGCATCAGCCGTTTTTTTTCTTCTTAAGGTACTGTAAGAATTGAAATTTATTGTAATGATGTTAAGATGATGAAGGTCTTGAATACTTAAGTAGTTTTGTTCCGTTTCGAAGAATGGATTGTCAAGATAGTCAGTCGTTGTGTTACTATGAAGAATTATGGACCAGAAATTGACATACCTACACTTGATTAACCATTCAGCAATCATATTTGTACGGTACCAGTTCGAAAAATGTACGCAGATCGAGAAGTTGGTATTTACCGGTACCCAATTGCATCTGGGCGGGACAGTGGTCTTTAATTCAGTACATTTCTTCCACTAGTGTACATGAGCAAAAAGTAGAGCTGAAAGTTTTTGGTATCCATTGCATCCACATCTTGTCGACTGGTTGCAATTCATTATACGATCAAAGTACGTAGAAGCTTAAATTCATTTTAGATATCATTGTACTGGAATCCAGTAGAAACGCACTTTTCAAAAACTTGAAACTTAGCACAAATCCTCAATAGACCATTCGTTTGGTATTATCGAAGCGAGAAGAAGCAAATGGTAGTAGCGTATGTTTATACGGAAGATTAATTTCGTAGATATTCAGTGTGACGAACGATTTGTTCAAAAGGCATGTTAACAATGCGTTGAAATCAATTTCTTATACGACCAAGAAATGAATTTTGAACTTTACATGCCTCTTGTAGATTCGAGGAAATGGATTTCAATCAAAGTTTCTTGATGTTAGAGATTTGTGTTTTCTTTTCGCTTCCACTTGCTCGGTATACGCGGAGGAAAATGAAATCAAGCCAGAAGATGACAATTGAGGATGTTTGGGGATGTCGATGGCTAAGAAGAGTCGTTTCACCTTGTACGACAAGGTGATGACATCATCGAAAAATGTCGTGGCTCCACTCCAAGACGCTTCAACCATGTGATTGAATACAAGTTGGAAATATATTCATGATCCAATGTAAACATATCTGTAAGATTTACGACAGGTACACGATTCATTCGGATATTTAATGCACATAAACATATTGTGATCACAATTGGTCATCTGTGGAGTGGACAAATGTATTGGCTTAGGTTATATCGTCCACGAAATAGTGGACAAGAAGGGTATCTTGTGTACCCTAAGACCTTTCGAATCACAAAGATGTACCAAAGAGTTGGGGCCACCGCCCAGATGGCAAGCAGTAAATTCTGGGTACCAGTACCGAAATTTTTTGGCATCCTACCGGTTTGTACACACTTCACCCGTACGTACAGTACGATCCCACCCACCAGACACGAAACTCAAGGTTAACACAATCAATTTATATAAATTTCTAGCGTAAATAAAGGCCACTCTTCAAATTAATCAAGACCTTATTCTTAATGAAAAGGAAAAGGAATCTTAGTTTTTAATACAAGGAATACCGGTATTATCAAGTCAGAAACTATGCAGATTATGACATCAAGTATTTTTTGAAATTAATAAAAAACGGGCAAAAAACTTGGACCTGCTTGAGAAATATCTTCCCGACTTGAGAATTTTAAGATTTGAGTAGTGATACGCTTATGATCTTACTTTCTTGTCGTATGAATTGATCTAAAGGTACGACTGATTCATCGATTCCTTAGTTTTAATCTCATCAATCAGTAAATCCGTTTCGTTTGCTATTACTACAGTCGCGACTCTGTACATTAATATCCAGAAGTGTGATGAAGACTCAGGTCAGGCCATGCTCTTCGCTTGCTACGAATCGATTATAACGACGATAATGGAATCCAAAATCTATACATGTACTTGCTCCACCCATGTTCTAATCATACGCCAGTTTTAAGTATCACAACGAAAGTTTACTCTCATCTGCTTGCGTGATTATGTGGTCACAGAAACGTTTTTCTCCACGTCTCATTTTGTTTTCCAAGAGCTCTACACCAAGTTTCTGCTTTCCGTTACTTTTTTCATGTAACTAACTGTTAAGCACGAGCATTTGATGACGGAGGTCAAAAACCTAATACATCAAAGCGCACGAAACATTGGTTGGCCGGTAGCTTCCCATAAGGATTTGCTAGACTCGAAGGCTATACAGTTATGATGTTGAATCTTGTTGATAATCTGGAGGTACCGATCAATAATAACGTGTAGAAAGTCGTGCGATATCTATTGTTCAAGTATGAGATCTGTTTGTCTCTCCTCCTGTGTATTTTTCTTTTACATTCTATATGTTGTCACTTCTATTCAAGCTCTTTGATAATTTTTTAATGAATATTCAACGAAGCATGGAGGTAGATTGCAAGACAGCAAAGAAGTTTGCTGGAAGTTTTGAAGTTTATGGCGGACATGTGTTCAGCGTAACCGATGAAGATTTTTAAGTTTTTCCATGCGACAGCACAGCGTTACGACGGCGACCGATCCGCGTTTCTCTCTCGTATATTACTGCACAGATAGTATGTACAACTGTTATGAATCGAAAGAGAGTGGTAGGAAGGGTACCCTCACGTAGCTGCGTTGTCAGAAACTGAACTGAAGGTGATGGTCAATTGACTGTCCAACTGAACAGCTACTATAACCAATTTTTCAAAGGTACAGAATTAAATTATGTAGTGGTTGAGGACGTTTTGAGAATGTGTGATACAACAATCAATGAATTCAGAGTCGTCATTGTAGAAATTCTAGAAACATATAGTGACGCATTGCTCGCAGTCCAATTCTATCTACCCATATGTATCGCTTCAAAAGGTACCGAAATAAAGAAGTGATCACATTTACCTTATGCTGTTCATTTAAGCTTAAAGGTTAGAAAGCATCATCTAGCCTGACGGTCCTTTTTTAAGTTTGATACGACGATCATGTGACAAAGTCTCTAAATGAGAATTTAGTAGCTTTTTTTCCTTTCGTGACACAGGTCGAGAGTGGGAAATCACCAGCTGCTCATACCAATCCGGACGACAAAAGATTAGAAAAGATTTCCAGATGCTAATTCTCAATTCGCAACTGGAACGTCAGTACTTTACAACTTAACAATTACACGTCATGCATGCGAAAATCTTAAAGAAGGTAAGATCGTGAGAATATGTTTCGATACAAAGACAATATTTGTGGTGATATGGAGCTAGAGGAGCAACATGAAAAGAAGAATATAGAGATCAAAGCTTTATATTTCGTACTGAGATATCAGAAGTGATTTCTTCGCAGGCGTTAAGGGACACAACTCAAGCTAGTACTTAAATTAAGGTTTTACGAGTTTAAGTGAATAAAAATGATTAAATAAACTACCAGAATGCAATATCGACTCGTGATGTTGACATCATGGAATGTGAAAGATGATCTTGTTAGATTATCAACGTGAATGTTCTTCTTCACTTCTCAAAATACGCTTCTTAAGTACCAGAAACCAATAAAGAGAGCACAAATCTTATCTTTTGAGCTAAATAAATACAAAAACTCATTAGATCGAGGCACACGTCACTTCGTTTTACAAGAAATAAACGTTCTTTGGATGTTGTGTGAAGCTATTTCAATACAATGGTGATCAATTGATGCAACTACGTCTTGCAATCGACTCGTCTTCCTAATCAGATGATGTGATATGTTATATAAAGTAAATGTGAAGTTAGATATTTGCGAATGAGATAGTAAAACTTTTGTGTCTGATACATTAAGGCAGTATCTCTTAAGTACAATATAATAATCAAGTACCAATAATAAAGTAACCATTTTAGAGCAAAATTAGATCTACCTTGATAAATACCACACTAAACACAGTCATTAACTTGTACGTTAGCTTGTTCAAAGCCTAAGACCAAACGTAACGTTTAACGTAATACTTGTTACGTTGACGTATGTATGTATATACCTAATGTGTACCTAATACATGTATCAAGACTTCTGAACCCAATGCATGTACTGCATGCATCATGAACTTTGAAATTCTCGTCCATCTGGATTTTTGTACCCCTTGTATCGCTATTCACGACATGACATTCCCAGAATCTAGCTATCATATCATTCTGGCTGTGTCAAAGCATCGTGACACTGTCGTTTTCTTAAATGCGTTCGAGATTCGAGAACTTGAAGTGAATACGCGATCAAGACTGCTTTGATAGTGCGACAGCACGCTAAAGCGCCAATCATAGAGACATTTAATAGCACGTCGCAACATGTTGCAAGGTAGCTAAGAAGTGCGTATCTATGCTGCGTGGTGATGCTTCTCGACAATTGATACGATCAGAAACTCCAAGTATGTAGTAAAAAAACGTGGCAGACGATTGTCGATTTCACCCACAATTGGACTTTCCAGATTTACACAGGAGTATTTCAAGTCGCACGTACCATGCTTTTCGTCTAATCAAAACAGAAATCGCTCTACATAAAACAGGTTCAAAAGATTTCGCATCAAGCGTAATCACTTTGGTAGCTAATCGACAAAGGAAGGAGGCAGTAACTCTAGATTTTTTAAGGTATGTCATTAGTGCTGTCGAATCAATCAATTGTTTTCTCATTAGATTGACGTTCATGTACAATTAAAAACGTACTCCAATTTTCTAGGCAATGTCTGCATTACAAAAGTGCTGGTACTTCTACTTTTAAACAGGTGGTGTCCTATTCCTTTTTGAAAATTACACTTTTTCGAAGGCAATGCTGGCATAGAATTACTGATGGATATCTATCAGAAAAGCCAAAAGTTGATCAAAGTGAGCACGCTATTACTCTTCCTGTCATTAATATCTGCAACCTTCTGGATTTCTAGTCGGGCACGCAATAGCCAAGTGCATGACCATCTTAGCGGCTTGAAAGC